AGGCAAGATTCAGGTATGTAAAGTGTAAGAAGCAAAACATTATTTATTTATTTTGTAGTACAGTTAGCGGTGGAGCCGGAAAGGCAATTGCAGATTAGGAAGGAAATTGGAGACTAAATAGTTGAGTTTTTAGTCGTTTCTTGAAGACAGCGAGTGACTCTGCCGTTCTAATGCAGTTAGGGAGTTCATTCCACCAACTGGGCAGATTGAATGCGAAAGTTTGGGAAAGTGATTTCTTCCCTCTTTGGGATGGAACCACGAGGCGACGTTTATTCACAGAACGCAAGTTTCTGGAGGGCACATAAATCTGCAGAAGTGAGAGCAGATAAGAAGGAGCAAAGCCAGAAGTTGATTTGCAAGCAAACGTCAGAGCTTTGATTTTGATATTTGCAGCCCATCAAATATCTCACAGCAAGAAGGTCGCTGGTTTGAGTCTTGGCTGGGTCATATGGTGTTTCTGTGTGGAGTTTGCATGTTCTCCCCGCGTTCTCGTGGGTTTCCTCAGGTTTCTCCAACAGTCCAGAGACATGCGGATGCGGTACAGGTGAATTGGGTAAGCTAAATTGTCCATTGTAAATGAGTGTGTATGGATGTTTCCCAGAGATGGGTTGCAGCTGGAAGGGCATCTGCTGTGTAAAACATATGCTGGATTAGATAGTTGGTGTTTCATTCTGCAGTGGCGACCCCAGATTAATAAAGGGACTTAAGCCGAAAAGAAAATGAATGAATGAATGAATGAATGAATGAATGAAGTTTTATCTATAAATGTAAATAAATGTTAACCCATATTCAAACAAGAAGTATTAGCCTAAAGAGTGATGTTTAAACTCCTAAAATTTGTGCTTATTGCTTTGCATTTAATAGGCCTATTCATTTTTATGTTTATATTATCCTTTCATTTCCCCTTATTTCTTTCATACAATTGATATTTAATTTATAATTCTCTTATTGTTTAAAAATGTACTAGTTGGTAGAGACTGTGTTCTGTTTTTATTTGTACTGTAAATCTTTTGTTGTTATAAAAAAAAAATGATGACACCATGTGATCGGTCATCATGACTTTGGCAACTTTGAGCCCTGAAGTGTCTGGCTTGACAGCTCCGTTTTCAACTCCGCCCTTACCTGTGCTTGGCTAATCTCGTTGATTGCCGGCTGTAGCGTGCTTCATGTCGAATGCACCTGATGTACGCACCTGATGTATGATCTCTTTTTTAATACACATCCTGGAATTTGTTCGGTAAAAGTGTTTCCATCGTAGTTTATGTACATATTTTCTTATTGAATGAAAGTTTATCCTACTTAGTTATGCGCATGATTTTATGTCTATTTTCAAAAGTTATGTGCATCATGACATTTCCATCAATCGTTTTTTTATGCGCATCTCCAAATCAAACAATAAAATAGGTGAGTGGAAACGTAAGGCTAAGGTGAGAAACACCAGCCCGATCTCACGAGGAAACGTAAGTTATTTACGTTTTGTCAGTTTAGTGGCTAATTCGTACGAATTTGTACGAGTTCAGTCATACAAAAATGTACGATTTTAAAAAGAAGGCGTGGCACCTTACCCCACCAATAAGCAAATCGTACTAAATTGTACAAATTAGATCGTATGAATTCATACGAATTAGCCACTAAACTGACCAAACGTAAAATACTTACGTTTCTTTGTGAATTGCCATGAGATTGCATTGAAAATACTGCTTCGTCTTTAAAAAAGGGGAGGAGACCGTCAGAAACTCAAAGTTTAGAGAATAAAACCAGCTCCAGACCAGGTTAGGTTCACAGAGTAAGTTACCTCTCTTTCAGAAACAGGCTTGACTTACCCTGCTTTCTCGAGTTCGACAAACCTGTCATTTTGAAATGGAAAACCTAGAGTTTCTCTCATTTCAGGGTTCACATACTCTGTTTTCACTTAACCTCCTTTCTGAAACAGGGCCCTGAAGCCAAAATAACAAAACAATTCATTTTTCAATAAAATAGTCCATATTGTTAATTAAGTATTATAACCTTTAAAAAAAGAGAGAAATGAGCTAAAAAAGAGGGTCCAATAAACAGTGTAACGCAATAACAACTTTAGTCTTTAATTGTCTATAAACTGTCTCTATAAAAATGCCTTAGTTTACATTTATAAATAAAAAATAATTTTGTTAATTGCCTAAACAATTGCAATTTAAACAGCAAGCAATGTATTTAGAGTTGAGCAATACTCTTTTATATGTTTTCATATGTTTCACTGTAAGGACCGTATGATATGTATCGCCAAATATTGCTTACAAAGTTTTTTATTAACAGGCAAGACATATTGGTCTTATTCCGGCAGCTAGCTCTCTGCAGCGCTTACATGGTCGTAGAGATCTGCGCGGGACTAAATTTTGAATCCCGCTCCCGCCCACACCCGCCAGGTTTTAGCCCGAACCCGACCGCTCCCGCTTATATTAGGAAATTGTTTTTGCGCTGCCCGACCCACCCCGTTTTCTGGCCGCCGCACCCGATCCCGCTAAAGAGCGGGGGAGAACAAAACCGAAAATCACCCAGCTATACAGTCCAGACAGCCAAGCTGTCTGTATAAACACACAAACACAGCACCAAGCACACACACACAGGCCCCGTTTACACTAATGCGTTTCAGTTTGAAAACGCATAAGTTTTGCTACGGTTACGCCATCCGTCCACACTACGCCGGAGTTCTCGAGCGCCGAAAACAGAGCGTTTCGAAAACGCTGGAGAGGCCGTTTTCATTCTAAAACGCTGCTGCTCCGTCTCAGTGTGGATGGGGAAAGACGGAGACATCTGAAAACGGAGGTGGGGCTGCAGACATTCGCCTCTCTGATTGGGGCTTTTCCTCAATATTAAGTAGCCTAACACACAGTTCAGTCCTGAATCTTCTCCGTGTAAGTTCAGACTTCGCAAGTTTGATCAAGGCTGCATCTCTTCTTCTCAGTTTGATATGGAAAGCAGACTATACCGAGGACACGCGTCAATCTTCACAGGGAACAGTGTACTTTATAACTTCATTCACATCACCTTGGCTACATTGTTTCACTTTCTCAACAATAAAATGTAAACTTGATATAAGGAACTGCCTATTTTTATTTTAATATTAACAACTAAACAGACAGCAGAAATGTTGAGGCGTCGTGCTGCATGAGCGTCATCTTCACTGTGTGCATATTTATAACAAAACGGAGCCGATAACAACTGCCTCCTTTCAATTTCAGTGAAAATGCGAAACATACCCTCTCTTTTGCTGAATATCAGTTTTAATAATCGATAATGGCCATTATAAAAGTATAACATACAATAAGTTTATACATTATAGGAAATAAAGGCAAGCGATCAGTCAATATACAGAATAGGCTACGTGGTTACATTAATCATTAACTTATCTTTGCGCTCAGCCAAAACACGTTACCTGAGAACAAGTAATAGATTCCAATGACCAAAGTCAGGGAATATGTCGTTAGATAAAGACAACAAGATGAATGAAATATCACGTTTAATAAATATAGTGAGATTAGATCCAGCGGGAGATGCTTGATGAGAAGTCCGACTAGCAGAGCTCTCATCTGGGTAGATGGGCTCCAGCGATTGCCAAAGTGTGTGTGTGTGGTCACGTGATGTGCGTTTTCAGCGTTTTGGTGTGGACGGAGAGCAGTTCAGAAACGCTGGGTAAAACGCGAGTGTGGATGCGGATCGTTTTCATTCTAAAATGCCGTTTTAAAACTAAAACGCACTAGTGTAAACGGGGCCACAGACAGCTCTCTCTCTCTCATACGCGCGCACAAACGCACAAACAAGCACCAAGCAGACACACAGGTGTGAGCCCACAAGCATCTGGCCCGAGTCCGGCAGCCAGAGCCAGGCCGAGTGGTAAGTCTCAGGCAGGCGAGAATCTAGCCGGAACTAGCCCGAGTGTATTTTGCTATCTGAGAAAGCTCTCTCTCTCTCTCTCTCTCTCTCTCTCTCTCTCATTCGCGCGCGCGCACTAACATACACACACACAAGCACCAAGCACACACACAGGCAAAGCTCTCTCTCTCTCTCTCTCTCTCTCATTCGCATAGCAATATCTGCGATATTACTAGACAGCCCGCTGTCCCAAATTAAACCCGTTACCGACCGCTCCTGCGATTTATTCGGAAGTTTGTTCCCGCGCCGCAGAAATCTGGTCGGGTCCCGCGGCGCTCGCGGGCAGCCACGGGAGTGCAGACCTCTACATGGTCGCCCACTGAAGCTAAGCAGGGCTGTGCCCGGTTAGTACCTGGATGGGAGACCACATGGGAAAGCTAGGTTGCTGCCGGAAGTGGTGTTAGTGAGGCCAGCAGGGGGTGCCCAACCTGCAGTCTGTGTGGGTCCTAACACCCCAGTATTGACCTTATTCTCCGCAGACGAGTGGGCGCTGCCATTTGAATCTTTTTGGCACGAGACTTCCAGTCTCATTCACTTCCATTCATTTTTAGACATTTTTTTTTTTGATGTTGCAAACTGATATTTCCTTGTTTTATTATTCTACTTGGTCTTTATAGTCATGCAAACATTTGTTTGTAGAGCAAGTAGTTTGACCGTTTTTGCCGTTTATTATTCCTAGTCATTTCTCCCATAGGTGACTGAAACAGAAGTTCTAAGACAATCGCGAAAACAGGCGCACTTCCGCATTTTAGAATAAGGTCAATAGTGACAGGGACTCTATACTGCTCAGTGAGCGCCGTCTTTTGGATGAGACGTTAAACCGAGGTCCTGACTCTTTGTGGTCGTTAAAAATCCCAGGATGTCCTTCGAAAAAGAGTAGGGGTTTAACGCCGGCATACTGGCCAAATCTGCCCACTGGCCTCTGTCCATCATGGCCTCCTAACCATCCCTATATCATAATTGACTTAATCACTCTGTCTCCTCTCTACCAATCAGCTGGTGTGTGTTGTGCGGTCTGGCGCAAAATGGCTGCCGTTGCGTCATCCAGGTGGATACTGCACACTGGTGGTAAATGAGGAAGTTCCTCCCATGTGTAAAGCGCTTTGAGTGCCCAGAAAAGTGCTATATAAATGTAAGGAATTATTATTATTCCAGCTGATGTTGCTGATGACTGAAAGTGAGCACAAGTTTAACAGTCAAGTTAGAAAATGCCTTATTAGTTCTTTTTATATAATAAACTTTTCTCTTTTTAGTGTCTCTGCAGGAGAGCATTGTGGGTTTTATTGGTGACTCAGTTGTTATCGAATGCTCTACTAGACAACCTGAGCTCACAGTTCAAGACATCATAGTGCGCTGGAGACACAATAATCTGAACGTGTACGACATTATTAATGGACAAGTTTCAGTAGAGGGACAAAATCAAGAATATAAGAACAGAGCTGAAACCTTCCCTGATGAATATAAGAATGGAAACTTCTCGCTCAAACTCAACAATCTTCAACACAGAGATAAAGGAAGATACACATGCTATATTATAAGACAATCAATATTAAAGAGTTTCAATCTTATTGTCAAAGGTGTGTAAAAACATTTTTATTGCATAAATATTTGAATATATTTAGAATCTGTATCATATGCATGCATGTTTGCATTTATATTTTTATAATACATATATACAGTACACACACAACTTTTATTTTGGTTGCGATTAATCTTTGCCCCGCATTAATATTTTGCTCTAGGAATGGGTGCATGTATGTTTTCATATAGTTTTTCCTATTCATTTTTGTCAATTCAGAAAAACAAGTAAGAGGAAGTACAAACCAAGGAACAAAACCAAGACCAAAGAGGACTGCAATAATGTTTGCTGTATGTATTGGAATTATTTCTCTCTTTACTGTAAGTTCAGTTTATTCAGATTTAACAGTAGCAAGAAGTAAATGTCATGAGTAGATCACACTAACTAAACACATATGATGTTTGTGTTTCAGAACTCTGCCACAGGAGTTTATTTGAAATTCCATGTTCCGGTTCCAAGCCCAAATAAAATGAGGAGTGGCTATAGCAGGACTTAGATGAACAGGAAAAAAAGACATAACAATATTTCAGATTGTGGCACATGCCACAGCCATGTCACCCTGCAGCCCAAGACCGGTTACTCACTGAAGCTATGCAGGGCTGAGCCTGGTCAGTACCTGGATGGGAGACCACTAGGGAACACTAGGTTGCTGTTGGAAGTGGTGTTGGTGAGTCCAGCTGGGGGCACTCAACCTGTGGTCTGTGTGAGTCCTAATGCCCCAGTAAAAGTGAAGGGGACACTACACTGTCAGTGGGCGCCGTCTTACAGATGAGACGTTAAACCAAGGTCCTGACTCTCTGTGGTCATTTAAAATCCCATGGCACTTCTCGTGAAAGAGTAGGGGTTTAACCATGGTGTCCTGGCCAAAGTCCCTCTATCGGCCCTTACGATCATGGCCTCCCAATCATCCCCTTCCACTGAATTGGCTCTATCACTGTCTCTCCACTCCACCAATAGCTGGTGTGTGGTGAGCGCACTGGTGCCATTGTCCTGTGACTGCCGTCGCATCATCCAAGTGGACGATGCACACTGGTGGTGATGTGGAGAGACCTCCTCTCATGATTGTGAAGCGCTTTGGGTGTATGGCCATACACAATAAATGCGCTATATAAATACACATTACAATACATTACATATCCAGCCTATCATGCAGAAAGCAGAGTGTAATTCAACTTAAATGAAAACTAATTCTCTTCAGTTTATTACACATGTCCCTGTCCAAGTATACAGCAATGCTGGTTGCTATAGTATTCAACCCTGTAAGGCCCACCGATTTAAATAGATATATTTGATATATAATTTTTTTTTCTCTCTATTAGATTGCATTTATATTAGTTACAAATCATTTTATTCAGTCTTGCAGTGTTATTGGATCATAGATTTTGTAAATAGGTTTGTTAAACTATTCATAGACTTGAAGCACGCCCTCTTGTTTTACAAAGTATGATAAATCAACATTTAGTTAAAATGCCTAAAATTTGTGTTTATTTATTTATCTTTGGTCCATATGCAGATATTAATATACAGTCAAATGCTTATTATATTATTAAACAAATAGGCATAGTTCTGAAATTTCTTTGATTATTTGAAAGTATTTGAGCAGCCATATTAAGAACTGACTGTATCTTTTTTTTTAATAGGAAATATACAGAATTGGTCCTGTGCACTGAAGTTTTGCTTGTTTGCTGTAATATCATCTTGCTGCACTGAAGACATTGATGGGAAATAACAAAGAACAAATAATTAATTCATGTACTTAAATTTTTTTTTTTCAGGAACAGCACTTCACTATTTTTTGTCTTAACTTTTTACTTAGGTGCTGTCGCCTCACAGCAAGAAGGTCGCTGTGTTAAGTTTGCATGTTTTCCCTGCGTTTACGTGGGTTTCCTCCCCCACAGTCCAAAGACATGCGGTACAGGTGAATTGGGTAGGCTAAATTGTCTGTAGTGTGTGAGTGTGCGACCCTGGATCAATAAAGGTACTAAGCCGAAAATAAAATGAATGGACTTATTACTTATACTCATTACATTTTTAAGTAAATATATGTAATTTCTGCTCTTTACATTTTTAATCAGCCTTGTGATGGGTTGTGTGTCATCATTTGTCATTACTCAAATCGAAAGCCTTTTTGATTCAGTTTTTTTCAATGTGCAAATGTGCTGCTTTTTAAAAACATGTTGGCGCATTGTACGTAGGCTAGTTTGTGTAGCTTACCAGGAGAAACACAAGGATGGCTAACGTGGCTGAGACAGAGGGAGTTGGTCAAATATTCTGTGGGAATGTAAAATATGAGTTGTCTTCACTTAACACTTAAGTTCATCCAAAACATATTTACATATTTCTTCTGCTATGATAAATACTTCATGTAGTTTTCGTGTTTTAGCATTAGGCATCTGGCATTAAAGCTCTCATAAATATCCCATGTTTTTTTTTTTTTTTGGATAGTTAATTTCATGAATATAGTGGATATAGTATTGTGACAGCTGCATATATGCACTGAGATTTGTTTCCTTTATTTTCAGTGTGTTCCTATTTCATTCATACTATAAGGTTGTCATGTTCACTAGCGAACAACCACCAGATGTCGCTGGTAAACACACACACACTTAGAACTACACTTTTCCTGGACTACAACTTCATACATGCTCTTCGCCCACACACCTGCTTTCTCATTTAGCTTGATTTACATTCACACCTGAGGACTTTCAGAGACTGATTAACACACACTTTTCAAGCCACACATTAACTCCTTCAGTTGGCCGAAGAAAAGTGTAGTTCTAAGTGTGTGTGTGTTTACCAGCGACATCTGGTGGTTGTTTGCTGGTGAACATGACAAAGGTTCAACCAGTTGGCCCAATGCCGGTGTCCACTGGTGGATGAAGGTTCAGTGCCTGTTCGGTCTTACCAGTGCACAATGTTGATTTACCTTAAATTTAACTCATATCTGACTCCAATTTTAGCATGAGGTGGTTTAGAATATTAATATATTTATCTTAAGTTTTATCTGACTCCAATCATAAAACATTAAGAAGATTATATCAATATATAATTTAGATAAATGTTTGAACCTTTTGTCTTCACTAGTAACTATTACATCCGTTCATTCGGGTGTTCATGTCGCTCAGAGAAATCGGGTGTGTGCATAACAAAAGGCATTTGCATTTAGTGCTGCCTGTGGTAAAGTCACACCCTTCACAGTGGTTCAAAAGATGCCTGAAGTTATATATTTATTGTTTTGATTATGTCTATTTCTGAGAGAATGAGACCATTGTACCAGTCGCACATTTCATATGATATCAAACATGATAGATAAAGTCACTTGGGTTAATTTAGAACATTCAGACTTTGAAATGACCATATGTGTGAGTTGGGGTGGTTGAAGTCGAGTTTCAGTGGATTCAAATATAAATGTAGCGGAAACTGGTTCTTTCCCGCATTCCCACCTGCTGGGTTGTGAAGCCAATTGTCTCTATTTTTGGCTCATGTTTGAATTGTCAAAGACATCAAAGTATTTGTGATATCTCACGCCTTACAATACATTCATTTTCATTTCGGCTCAGTGCCGAGGTCACCACAGCGGAATGAACCGTCAACTTATCCAGCACCTGTTTTCACAGTGGATGCCCTTCCAGCTGCAACCCATCTCTGGGAATCATGTATACCCACTTGTACACACTCGTACACTACAGACAATTTAGCCTACCCAATTCACCTGCACCGCATGTCTTTGGACTGTGGGGGAAACCGGAGCACCCGGAGGAAACCCACGTGAACGCGGAGAACATGCAAACACCACACAGAAATGCCAACTGACCCAGCCGAGGCTCGAACCAGCGACTTTCTTGCTGTGAGGCAACAGCACTACCGACTGCGCCACTGCGTCGCCTTTTATAATGTTTTGTTACTTGTAAATCATTCAGAATTTTTTTCTGAGATCACTATGAAGATTGGCTTGACATTAGAGGGAAAGTTCACCCAAAACTGTAAATTCTGTTACCACTGACCTCCACAGTATTTGTTATTTCTTACTATGGTTTTATTACCATGGGTACTGGTTTTCAGCTTAATTAAAAAAAAATGTGTGCAACCGAATAAAGAAACTAATAAAACCACTAAACAGAGAGAGTTTTGGGTAAAATATCCCTTTAAAAAGTGAATAAACAAATAATATGGTTCTATATTTATTATTTTAAAACCCTGCATAATATTTAATCCTTTACTTTCAACAAAATAGTCAAGAGTAACATGTTTCATCCCTTCAGTCACTTGAAAACCAAAGACAAACAGTGTCTGTGTCCATAGTTTAGAGGAGGTTTTGCTGTGGCCTGAGTGCTATTTCTAAAAGTGTCATTTTTTAAAACCAGTCCTGTTTTTGTCTCTCAGGCTTTCTTTCTCAAATTCAAAGGCACAAGGTATGAAACACTAACAATATGACATTTAACAACATCAAAATATTTAATTATTTTCATATTACACAACTTAAGCATGTTTGATGTTTGCAATGTAAGTTGTCTGATCCACATGAATAAACTGATCATTCAAACCTCTCTTACTCTGAGCGGAAACACATCTGAGCTGAGGTTAAACCACTAAAGAACTTCCTTTCAGGCTACTCCTATAACACTCTACATGTTTGAAAGTTTCATAGTGGAAAAAAATGTCATGCTAACAAAACCAGTTTAAACCGTTTCCATTTTAGGACTAAATCTTGTCTAAATTCAAAACGAATTAATAATGTGGGTTGTAAACATAAATAATTTTAGGAACAAGAGGCATTGATTTAGGACTGAACTGTGGTAAAATCTTAAATTATTGTTTATTTTCTTATAATGCATACAAAACAAAATCATCCTGCCAAAAAAATTTATACAGCAACAATATGTCAGTGCTATTACACTCAAAAATGTCTCTGTTCAAATAATTATATTTGATTTACCAAAGTCAACCAAGTGGCAATTTCACATCTGTCACATCCATAACAAAGCTTTTTCCTCATGAATGCAAAAAATTGTAAAATAAAATAAAATTGAGCATTTTTGTTTAAAAGAGAGCCAACTCCTATCATTTTGATTAGCATTGTTTGTTTTGGGTTGTGCAGTTAAATTCAATGAATTTCTTCAAAGTATGTTGTGTAAACTAGCATACTCTATTGGTCACATCCATAACATGTTTATTTACCTCATTTAAAATCTAAAAAATGTTCACAGATTGATATTTTTCTGATCCCATAACTGTGGTTGTTTTGGAATATATAAACAGATGGTTCAATATAGTGTTAACATGTACTTTCTCTGTGAATTTATGTTTTAGGTTTTTACTACAAATGTTGCATCCATAACACTGGAATTGCTCTAATATAAAATCATTTAACCTCATTTAATAAATCATTAAACCTCATTAAGTGAGATAGCATCTAACTCCAAAGAGTCCAAATAGTATCTAACTACAGAAAGTAATGATATTTTTTCTTACCAAAGCTTGACACTTCTGCAAATACTTATAATATTAATAATACATTTTTATTTGTATAGAACATTTCATATACATTATATTTTATATTTCCAGAGCTCAAGGACACTTTAAAATGTATGCAATAAAAAAATATAGTACGAACAGACATTGAAA